TGGCGGGGCTGGCTCCGGCCGCTCTGGGTCGGTGTTTGCTCCGGACGGGCACCGGGAGAAGTCCCGGGGGCCGGGTCCCCGCGATCCCCCGCCTTAGCCCGCAGGAGTGCGGTAGCGCGGACAGTGCTGGTTCCTCCGCGCTTACCAGCGGCTCGGTCGGGCGTTAGCAAGCTGAGCATTTTCAGGAATTTCTCTGTTTTATTTTTAAGGCCTTCGGTAATTCTTAACTTGGCTTCTCTGGTCTGTGTGTCTTTCAGTTTCTATTTTTAAGCGGCCGCCCTTGGAGCGCCGTGCCGAGCTGGGGCCGTGCGAGCCCGTCGGTCGGTGACTGTGTCCCAGCAGGCTTTGCCCCTTCCTGCTGCATCATCGCTTTGTTAGCTCAAGTCTATTTTCTTTTCTGCTGCTGAGTTGGGAACTGGCCAGCTGCACACTCTCGATTTCTATTCTCAGTTACTTCTTTCTTGAACAAGGCAAAAATGCAAACTAATATGTTACGTTAATTTAGTTGACTTCAGCCTCTCTCCAACGTCAGGAATGCTTCGAATTCTTCCAGGCTGCTTGTGGCCGTTTTTAGCTTGATGCTCTTACAGTTTTTCAGTGAGTACTTGCTGTCCCCTCACCCAGGTTGCTGGTGGAGATACTGAGCAGGAGCAGATTGGGGCAGAACTTCACAGGAATGCTTATTAAGCCCTCCCATTGCAACAACAAAGTATTAAATACCAGTCTCCTTTGAGAGTGGTTTTCCTTTCACTGCATTGTGTACTAGCCAAGAATGGTCACTTAGAGATGTTTCTGTGTCTTGTCTTTGAGAATATTGTGTAAGTGGGTATCAAGACTTCACTTGGATACCTTGCTTGTTATCTCTTTATCCATTAGACTGAAAGAAGGAAGCTTGCTCCATAGGTTGGGTTTTGTTAATCCTTATTCAGAACGATTAGAAATGGATTATATAAAGATTTTTCTTTAACATTATTCTAAGTTTGTAGACTTAAAACCTCCCACAGGAATATAAGAGGTGGCAATGTAAGATAAGAGACTTCTAAGATAGCTGAGATAACAAAAAGATGCGTTGGGATTAACATGTAACAAAGCCTTTTTTTCTCTCTAGTTTGTATTCTCTGAAACACAGAATGATTACAAAGAGTGATTTCATATGATATACCATCCATATAAACCTGCAGGCTTTTTTATCAACTACCTGAATTAACAAAAAGTTGCCTTGTTTGGCAGCCTCAACACAAACTCTTTATCAGTCAGCACTTCTGGGCTGAAAAGAATCCTGACAAGCTAACTCTGTTTTTTCAGGTTTTAATTCAGCATTTCACTGACAACTTTAAGTTTCTGTAGTTGTGATCTGATTTTCACTATGTTACGGAGTTTGCTGTAGTGAGCGGTTTAAAAAATGTATGTTAAGCAGGAAGATTTCAGATTTGATTAAATAACCCATCTCTCACCACATTATCATAGAAACAAAAGAAGAGAGACAGTTAACAGACATAAGACCATGCCGTTCCATGATGTTCTGGTTATTTGAATGTATTTAAAGTTTTTCAAAACTTACTGTCAAGTAGCTGTGCACTGTTTTGACACTGAGCTGAGCAAACATGTATGTGACCTTGTTTTTGACTCCTCTACAGGAAGAGGCTGACCCGTCACTTCAAGCACTTGAATCCCGCCAGGAAGAGATTCTGAAACGCCTGTATGAACTGAAGAGTGCTGTTGATGGTCTGTCAAAGATGATACAAACCCCAGATGCTGACTTTGATGTAACTAATATCATTCAAAGTGATGAATGTTCCCTTTTAACAACAAATGGAGCAGATTTGGATTTGATGCTTGGAAAGGTAAGTTTACTTGAGCATATACATTGATAGATATTTTCTTTGCTCTGCTTTCCAGGGTTGAAAGTGTGGCATTAAAATCTGGGGCACTCAGAACTCAATATACACATCTTATATCCTTACAGATTACCTAAAATTATTTCATTTTGGACATTTAGATTAGATACAAACATTTATAAATACTAAATCCTATATATTCTCATTTGCATATAATTCCGAGCTAGAATTACTACAGTTGGTTTCCTGTTTGTTATTAATGGGAAATTTGACTTCACATTGGACTAGAATTTACCTGTCATGCTCTTGAATTGTATGTTGACAAAGGAAGATGTTTAAACAAGCTTGAAATGTCCAAACTTGAATTGATTCGTTTGAATAAAATTAGAATTTTAGATACACATGTGAATAGCTATGTACTTTTTGGTGTCAAATTATAACTCCACTAATTCAAAGTCTGAGCTGGAAATCTTATCTGCTGAATGTTTTACTTTCCATTCAGGATTATGGTGCCCTGAAAGATATTGTAATCAATGCAAATCCTTCTCTACCTCCGCTGTCACTATTAGTACTACACAGTCTGCTTTGTGAACACTATAAAATATTATCAGCTGTTCACACACATTCATCAGTGAAAAGTGTGCCAGAAAACCTCTTGAAATGCTTCGGAGAGCAGACTAAGAAGCAACCACGTCACGAGTATCAGTTGGGCTTTACTCTTATTTGGAAGGATGGTAAGAATGAAGTTAATCTTTTTTTACAACAGATGAGAATGAATTTGTGCTATAAAACCTTGACAACAAGTGCTCTGTTGTCTTTATGCCGATACATGATAGGTATTGCTGGTAACATTTTTGCTCTCTTTATAGCTATGAACAATGATGGGGACAGAGGAGGAAGATTCTTGTTTGTGGTTACTGCTATTAAAATACACATGGCATTTACATGGTTGTTTGTACCCACGGGATTATTTTTTTTTATAGAAGTGCTTTTCAATTTCTACAAATAAATTAGCTAGAATAGAAATTAGGTGGGCGATTGAGCTGAAGTTTGCCAAAAGTAATCTCTTTACCCCGGGTTCTTGCCTCAGCCTAAGTATTTAGACTAATAAAACTGAAAATTGTTCATCAGGTTAATGAAGCTAACAGTGTTGCTGGTATCACAAAAAAAGCCAAACCATAGAATTACGGTAGAAGTTAAATGTAATGGTGTGGTATTCACTCTTTTTTCTTAATTTCAGTTCCCAAACCCCAGATGAAGTTCAGCATTCAAACAATGTGCCCTATTGAAGGAGAGGGGAACATCGCTAGATTTCTCTTTTCCCTGTTTGGCCAGAAGTACAATGCAGTTACTTCAACTCTGATTGACAGCTGGGTTGATACTGCCATTTTCCAGCTAAAAGAAGGTAGCAGTAAGGAAAAAGGAGCAGTCCTGCGCTCTATGAATGCTGCCCTGGGCAAGACATCGTGGTTGGTGGGAAATGAACTCACCGTAGCAGACATTGTTGCGTGGTGTGCGCTTCAGCAGACAGGTAGTGCAAATGCTGCCCCAGCCAATGTGCAAAAATGGATGAAGTCATGTGAGAACTTGGCACCTTTCAGCTCTGTTATGAAGCTACTAAAGTAAGCCTGTACTCTTCATAATAGTGTACTTTTAATCTTATTCCCCCTCCTGCAGTGGTTTTGCATCCTTTCTGAGGTGTAAAGTACTACAGCTAGACAGAATTCTAAAATTAATAAAAACATTACAGCTGCTTTTTGAGTGTCATCTTTCTTTTTTTGTAACTGATGCATAACATTCATGGGTTTTTAATGATTATAAAGTATCTAAAGTAGTCCTCTGTAAATACAAGCTTCACTTTTAAGTTTTCCTTATTTTTCCCTGTAACCCAAATGCTTATTTACACAAGTTCAGTTGTACTGAAGCAAATGCAACAAGAATCCTTTCTGTTGCTTAGAGACTTCTGAACTAAGACAAAAAGATGAATACCTTTAAAGAACAGACAGGAAAATAAAAATGCATTGAAATATTTTTATGTAAAAATGAAATGTTTTATATAACTTAGAATACAATAGAGGTTAGTTCTTCCTGTACTTAAACAGGAGAACCTAGTTCCATACATTCATCTTGTTTATCAGAAAGCAGTCTTATTCTCTCTCTCAGCTTCTTTATTTCTTCCTCTTGCTGTCTCACTTTCTGTTGTAGGTTAGAAATAACCTGAAAATGAGAGCCTGTTTACTTCATTTATAGACAGGCAAGCATAAAGCCTTATAAACCTCTTTGAATTGTGTTTGCAATCCACTACAGACATTCTGCAGCACCACAGAGCTATTCTGCATATTTGATACTAGAACTTAATCCACAAACAAAAAACTGTGGCAAGGAAAATGATAAAAAGATTCTGCGGAGCTGATAAAAAGCTTCAGAAGCTTTTTGGACCTGTAAAAATACCTCAAGCTGTATGGCAATCAACTGTCCAGTCTTCAAAAAGCTACCTCCACTTAATGACAGTTTCTCCAGATAGCAGAAACATTAAGACAGTGGCCTAAATATTGTAATCGGAAAAAAAGTGTCAAGAGGATTGTGTGATTAAGTTCAAAACAAACAAAAACCTCATAATGCAGGGAAAAAGGCATTTTCTTTCTATATTTCTTTATCCTGTAAAGGTTGAGGTTACTGGCATAACTTACATGTTCTGGGGTATGAAATAGTTCACTTTCACGAAGCTGAGCAGCAGTTGGTCTTTCTGTAGATCTCTGACTGGTAAGGAGTTTAATGTACTTGGCTTGAACAGGCCATTCTTTGTAGAACATGTGAGGAATCTGGCCAGTCCGTAAATGTGTAAGAACTTCTGTTCTTTCCATTTCTGTTCCAAATGGTTGGAAGAGTTCTAGCAGGATAACACCCATGCTGTACATGTCGGACTGGTAAGGGGGTGAAGAAAAAGTTCCAGGATAACTGCTATTCTTACATACTCACTAGATTCCTTTTTCTCATTAAAAATTCACAATATGAAAAAGTTCCACAACAATGAAGTTTCATAATGATACGGAAAGTATCATGACACTACTAAAGGAACACAAATTCAAATGATGTACATTCCCTGAGATGATCTTGGGAACAAGTAATTTTTGCATTGGTAGCAAACTAGAAGGCAAAGTCGAAATCCATGCTTCAGCAAAAACATTAGGAGTGACAGTAGGAGGAGTAATTATGTATCTACCTATTGAAAAGCTTGTTTTATTCCTATTATCTACCATCATGTGTTAATAGAAAAAAAAGTACTCCCTACCTTGAAGTCATAGTGAGATCCTTGCAATTGTTCTGGTGAGGCATAGAGGCAAGTCCCCACTCCTGAAGTGTGTGTTAGTCCTTTAAAGAGGCAATTTAGACTTACTCAGCTAGTGTTACATTGTTAACATTTCACCCTCAAATTTAGTATTTAATGGTTTTAATATCATAGAAGCTTGAACACTGAAACTTATGAAGTTTTTTTCTCTTACCATTTATCCTTTCTGTCTTAAACCACTTGTCTGCATCATCCCAAACAAGGTCTTTGCAGGCTAATCCGAAGTCTCCTATTTTTACATGATGATCTGATCCATGTAGAAAGATATTTCTGGGCTACAAACCAAGACAGTATAAAATCTAAAATGTATCTATATAAGGAATTAGAAAACTTCAGCAGCTTTAAAGTCTATAATAGAAAATCCAGCATTTCACAGGTACAAGACAATAATTATTTAACACTTTCATTAGAGAGAAAAAAATAATCATAGTTGATAACCAAATTATGTGTTAGCAACACCATTTAGGCAGAAAGACCATATATGAAGGATCTAGAAAAAAAGGAAGAAAAACAAAAACAGGAAAACCAGATTTAGTGGAAAGATAAAGTACTTTCTTTTGTCCAGCAGAAAATGGGAAGTTTTGAGAACAGTAATATTAACAGGAACAGGCAAGAGCAGACAGCAAATTAGACTAACTGATATAAGCAGGATGGAGGACTAGATACCATCTTTGGGCTAGACATAATGTAAAACAAAATACTTTTCTATATAATAAGCACAGCTTCAACATGCTACTTGGTTCTGGAAGTTGTTACAGAAGCAAAACAAAATTATGAGAGACTTGAGAGCACTGACTGGAAAAACTGAAATAGTCATCCATATATTTTGGCTTTAGGACCACGAAGAAGGAGAAATGCTAGCATTATGTATCTAGAAATAAAACCACATACGTGCTGGACAAAAGAAAATGTAATATGAAATCATGGGGTTTACTTCATCTGTATCACAAGGTTTCTGAGCTTAGGTATGTTTGATTGAGAAGTAAAAGAACTATTGCTTAGTACAGAGTTTTTTCCTACTAAGTAGAAATTAGCACTAGCAAGAAAGCAAAGTCAACTTAAGTTGTTTGTTTTTTTTTAATTCTTAAACTTTTGCTGGTTTTGTAGTACTGTTTAAAATGTTGCACTGAATAATGCAGTTACTTCAAAGCTGTTCTAGAGCCAGACATCCTGCAACATGTCAAGGAATTACACTGTTTAAGTGCCATTCCAAATCCTCTATTTCTGATTATGGATTTTCATTACAAAAATAGCAATTCCCTTGTCTATGAGTAACATAATCAAAGGAGCCAGTAGGCCTGCCGCTGTGTTTTCCTGTGGGCAGAGGAAATAAAATTCACACCATGAAGAGCTACATGAAGTAATAACGGGAGATGACAATAGCAGTGTTCAAGCTTTACTAGCTGATCACCCAGTCAGAGAAACAGTGATGCTGGGAAGGACCCTTACACTTCATAGACCTGCTCTCCCTCCAGGTAACCATTTGATCAGGATTATAATTTGTGATTAAAAATAATTTTAGATTAGGATATTGCATTTTTTAAAAAATGAACAAAACAGGGAAGGTTCCCACATGGATAGCTAACTTAAAAATACAAAAGAAAGAACAGGATAAATGGTCAGTTTTCACAGTGGAAGGTATTATCAACTGACTCTTGCACATATCTGTGCCGAGAACTATGCTGAACAACGTATTTGTAAGTGGTTAGAAAAGGGAGAGCAAAAGGTGAGATGACAAAGTTTGCTGGCAGAACTACATTATTCAGAGATATCAAGATGAGATCTGAACGCAAAGAACTGTGGAAGGCTCTTGCAGGAAGTGTAGTGACAAAAGGAATTCTGCAAATAAACATGAAAATGTAAATGAAGGGAAAAACAACCCCATTTTTAGATCTGTAACAACCACCTCCGAGTTGACTTATGGCTTAAGCATGGTAACAGGCAGCTCTAAAAATGCTCAGTAGCAGTCCATAAACCAAATTGTACATTGCCAGTTACTGGGGGGAGAGGGAGGTAAAGAAGAAAACACTGTGATACCATATGAATTAATACACTGCCATCTTCAGTACTGTCTGCAGTTCTGGGTCTCCTGTCTCAAAAAGCATATAACAGAACTGGAAGACTGTGCATAGAGGGGTGACATGAATACTGAAAATTTGGAATGGCTTCTATTCAAGGAATCACTAAATATAAAACACAAGACAAACTGTTAAGTTTAAAACAGCTCCATTAAATCACACATGGAATGGGGAAAGAGTATGAAACACTATTCAGTATTTCTTCCAATAAGCAAAATAAGTGATACCAAATTAAATTACTGGTGGCAACTCAAAACTAGGACCATTCGTCTGCACTCACAGCAGAGTTGAACTCTGCAGAGACACTGCTGCAGGATTGCTAATTAACACTTGGATGAGTTTAAAAAAAAAAAAAAGGACAAATATCCATAAATGGCTGTCACAGAAGATGCTACATATAGTTCAAGCAGCCACATACATTTGTTTCTCTCAAATGACAGTATACCTGACAATACAACATATGGCAGAATCACATCGATTGATCATTTTGAATATGGATTTTGCTTTACTCAGTATAAACAGAAAATGTAACCAGAAGTAGCATCTCGCAACTCAGACATGCAACACTACAGCTGAATATACTTCTTAGGCTGCAAACAGCCCCGCAGAGAGGGCTTGGGGATACTGGTAGATGAAAAATTGGGTATGACCTGGCAATGTATGCTCACAGCCCAGAAAGCCAACTGTACCCTGAGCTGCAACACGAGAAGTGTGGCCAGCAAGGCAAGGGAGGGGATTCTCCCTCTCCATTCCACTCTTGAGACCTGCACCTGCAGTGCTGTGTCCAGCTCTGTCATCACCAGCACAAGACAGACATGGACCTGTTAAGAGTGGGTCCAGAGGCAGCCACAAAAATGATCCAAGGGCTGGAACACCTCTCCCATGAAGAAAGGCTGTAAGAGTTGGGAGTTGTTCAGTCTGGTAAACAGAAGCTCTGCGGAGACCTTACTGTGGCTTTTTGATATGTAATGGGAGCTTATTAAAAAAAAAAAAAAGAGACTTTCTACTAGTGCCAGCAGTAACAAGACAAGGGGCAACAGTTTTAAACTTGAAAGAGGGTAGATTTAGATTGAATGTAAAGACATGAGGGTGGTGAGACACAGGAACAGGTTGCCCAGAGAAGCTGTGGCTGTCCCCCCCTGGCAGTGTTCAAGGCCAGGTTGGACGGGGCTTTGGGCAGCCTGGGCTAGTGGAAGGTGTCCCTGCCTGTGGCAGGGGGGTTGGAATTAGATGGTCTTTAAAGATCCCTTCCAATACAAACCATCCTATGATTTTGTAATCTACAGGCCCAAGCGCTGCCAGATCAGGTCTGTATGTACAGCCAAGATGAAACTTCTGTTTGCCTGAACTTCTGTGAGCTTCACTGGCCTGAAGCTGAACTATGATGACTCATTTCTCATGCTATAAAACTAGGAAATAGAGGAACTGAAGGCATTAACACCACCTTATGCGTTCCTGCTGGGCATAAAGAAGCTGTGGTTAACAAATATAAGTTAATGACCAAGCTTCTGTTAGGTTGTGGCAACTCATAATATTTGTTCTCACAACTGAAGTTTTGGGACCTGTTACTATGTTACACCCTACCAGCCCAGAAATTTTAGTCTATGTAATTTTATCTTAATAAAAAGAAATTAACTTAAAACAATGTTTTATGTTACAGAAATAACAAGAGCCTACATAGCACTTTACCTTCTCCTACTAAATTTGCCTAGTACTTACAGCTGAGACATCCATTTCAGAGAAGTCAACCAACTTCACAGCATAATACAGAAAAGTGTCTCTGTATCTTGCAAAATGTAAATCACTGGATAAATCCTAAAATCAGTAAGTACAAATATGTCTTCTATGTTTAGGCCAACAGTCTGATGATGCCTTTCCACATATATCCATTCTTTTTATTATCTTAACTTAAAGGACACCGACAAGTCTGGCTGGACACCTATTCATGTAACTGCAGGGTCACTAAACACAGAGGTACCAGCACACTTTAACTACTGCCTCTAGAGCAAACACTAACTTTGCCAGTCCAACTTGTGGAAGAACTGCCCTTCATGTTGCAGTGTGCACAACATCGTCTAAAGCAATCAGAATTTTAGGTGTCAATACAGATCTATTATTAAGAAACAGAGGCAACATAAATAGCCAAGATGATGAAGGACAAACAGCTATTTATGAGGCCTGCTCAAGTGGAAGAAAGGAAATAGCTGATCTTCTGTTAAAGAGTATAAAGCACATATGAACAGTTTAACAAGAAATGGGCAATCTCCACACTTTTAATTTCTTCAACACTGACCAAATTTAAGAGATACAGCACTGTTGGAGAAGTTGCTAGGCTTCTCATATCCACTGAAGAGATAATCAAGGACACCCACCCACTGGACTTCTGTTCTCAGAATTTCAAACACTGAAAGACTTTCTTATAATATTATCACATAAATTACTGTCTCTGCAAGGTATATTCAAAAAAATCTCCATTAGAGGAATATATGGTGAAAACAAGGAGCACTGTCTCCCAGTAACTAGATCAAATTCTTTATACAACTACCAGGACTTTGGAGAGTAAGGCCATGAAGCTGCTAAGCAAACTGAAAAACTGTTGATTCCAAAACAGTTGGCAGAAAAATTAATCTAGAACCAAGACTCTGGGTTTTTTTTTCCACAGTTCCAAGTTTCCACATGTGAAATTTTAATAATCAAGATGATTTTTACACCAATTTCCTCATATACCTACTGTATCAAATGCAGGAAACCTCTGTAGGAAGCAGAGTAGGAAAATTCACTTCCTTGCTATGTAAGTCTATCAGTTGCAGGGGGTGGGAAGCAAGATCTATCTACCTATGCTTCACATTTAAGCCAGCCAGTAAGTCAAAACTATTCTTATGATTAGAGTTTAATAATAACTTCACAGAAACATATAAAGGGCATCCTACTCTAATCATTCAAATCTTTATTTTAAGTCTGCTCTTCGTTACTTTTAATAGGAATGAAACCACAACTTTTCATTCAGTCATTAACATCACCTACAGGTTCAGTCCCTTAGAAGAGACTGCAACCATTCTGAAAGACAGCAATTGTTTGTGACTTATTTTTTTTTAAAAAAGCAAGTAACTATAACTTGAAGATATTTTCAAAAGCTCACTGATATGCTGTTAGTAAACTGAGGTGTAGCTAAGGGGCTTTGTTACTTTCATAATTAACTAAATGAAAAATTTTTTTAGGTAATTAGGTAACTTAAGTCCTACCCTGGTTAAGGAAAGACCAAGACAAAACAAAACTAATCTGACCACCTCTGTTTAGGATAAGAAAATGGCTTCACAAAGGAGAAAACATTTTCAGAACTTAATCATAATTCACTTGTAAGTCAATGTAACTGAGTACTATGTTTGTAGTAAAGAAAGCATGGTATTGGTATAGAGGACAAAAATGTATTTTTTCATATGTAACACAGATAATTTCTTAAGAGCCCAGACCATCTCAAATTTAAATACGAAGTTGCTTTCTCCTACAATGTACATTATCGGTGTTTTCTTCAATCTCAAATAATAATTCAATGAACTTACTTTAATATCTCGATGCATCACTCCCATGCTGTGTATATAGCATACTCCTTCTAATAACTCTTGAAAAATTTTCATTGTCCAGCGGGCATCCACAATATGGTATGGACCTTAAAACAATATAAAATCTAAATTATTTCAGCTAATTTTACTGAGTTATTTAAGTTTATGGTGGTATGTCTTGTTGAATTCTGTTTATTTATGATGTGGAAGAAATTTTTAATAGCATGAACACAGTTTTAAAATGGAATTTCCCATGCTTCTCCTAAGATCTTTGATCTGTACGGGCTGGAGCGATGGGCTGAGGCCAACTGTAGGAGTTTCGATAAGGCCAAATGCCGGGTGCTGCACTTTGGCAGCAGCGCTGCAGGCTTGGGGAGGAGCAGCTGGAGAGCTGCCAGTCAGAGAGGGACCTGGGGGTGTTGACTGACAGCCGGCTGAACAGGAGCCAGCAGGTGCCCAGGTGGCCAAGAAGGCCAATGGCATCCTGGCTTGTGTCAGCACTAGCATGGCCAGCAGGGACAGGGAAGGGATCTGACCCCTGTACTCAGGTGAGGCTGCACCTCGATGACTGTGTTCAGTTTTGGGCCCCTCACTACAAAAAGGACATTGGATTACTACTCGAGCGTGTCCAGAGAAGGGCAACGGAGCTGGTGCAGGGTCTGGAGCACAGGTCTGATGGGGAGTGGCTGAGGGAACTGGGGGGTTTAGTCTGGAGAAGAGGAGGCTGAGGGGAGACCTCATCACCCTCTACAGCTCCCTGAAAGGAGGGTGCCGAGAGCTGGGGATGAGTCTCTAACCAAGTAGCAAGCAGTAGGACAAGAAGGAATGGCCTCAAGTTGCACCAGGTAAGGGTCAGACTGGATATTAGGAAGCATTTCTTTCCAGAACAGGTTGTTGGGCGTTGGAATGGGCTGCCCAGGGAGGTGGAGGAGTCCCCATCCCTCAAGGGGTTTAAGAGTAGGGTTGACATAGCACTGAGGGATCTGGTGTTAGGTGTCAGTGTTAGGTTAATGGCTGGACTAGGTGATCTTCAAGGTCTTTTCCAACCTAGATGATTCTGTGATTCTGTGAAGATAGTATTTTTTAAACAGCAAAAAGTCACTAAGCCCAAAATTTCAAAAAGGAAAGTTCAGAGGACATGAACATATGTCTGCTTGAAAGGATTCCTCCAAACCCCATCAGGTATTTCTTTGATTATGAATTCAGCAAACTATTCACTTGCATGTAAGGGCTGAATTAAAATTATACTAATTTACATAATGACATGTTTTCTGTATTGATTTGTACCCTTCCTTTCTGGATCCTAATCCTTCTGCTATTGTGCTACCTTCTGAATTCCCAAATCTCTAATGACCCAGATCTAACATGTCTGTTGCCACTATGAACACTCACCATTTACTCCTACTTGGGTTTCTGTTTCTTAATGTCTAACCTATGATAGCATTCACCTTTCCCTTCCTGTTACCTGTAAAAATGACATTTTCCAAGGTCAAATGCCCTAGTAATTCTGTCATTCCCTGACCAAGAATGTAATCTTCTAGCTTATGACAGCTAAAAGACTATGATTACAGGAGATATCAGTGAAAATCAGCTGATAGCTGGTAAACCTGACTCCATGACTGAAGAGAACAACAGTTTTATCTTAATAGTGATTAAAACTCAGATTATACATTAATCATACAGTTTAGGTCTTACACTCTGTTAAGCATATGATTTTTTTATAAAACCACCCCAGAGAAAGGAACATGTCTCTAATGCTTTAAGAGCATTAGACTTGTTCTTCCAAATGTCAGCAGTTACTAAAGATCGCTTGGTATCAGGGCATGAGAACTCCACTGGCCACTCAAGCAAAGTAAATATTAGATTCTTTAGACCAGTGACAAATCAGCCTGTGTAGGAGCTTTGATTATTAAGAATAAACTTAAAAGCTGTTAAGTCCGTTGTAACTTGTCTGAAACAAAACGTTTTCCACAGCAGATAAATTAGCCAGTGAAGAGCTCTACTTTTTAGCAGCAAGACTAATAATAAAGCAAAACTTAAATTATTTAAGCAGATTACTGAGAAAAAGCAGATTCTGTCAATAAAAAAAACTCTTCCAAATAAGTAGTATTGCCCATGCACAGATCTCTCCAGGTAACAACTATGCCTCAGGCATACATTCTTTCTTTTTTGAAGAGACATCTACAACTCATGAGCTTAAATCTCTTTTACCAATATCTCTCATACAAAGATTTGATACTAGTTATTTGATTAAGTGAATAAAGAATCTAATGAAGAAGGACCATATTATAAACTGCTGAAGTAAAACATAAAATCAAGCAAGTGGACTTCCAATTAGGAAAAAAGAAATATTGAGCAAATAAATTTTTAAGACAGTGATGAATCTTACTGGAAGTTTCCTCTGTTCTCTCATTGCATCTTTTATTACGGTCAACAATCCAATCCCACAAGGATAATTCACAGAGTTGCATTTGTATATGAAGCATCAAACGATACTCCACCTAATGGAAAAAATAATTGTCCATGATTTTGCCACTGTATATGAACAGTATTTCCTTAGTTATTTCCTTTAAAGCTAATAAAACCAAAATTTTTTATTAAACTAGAAAAAGTTAGATACCTAAATGACATCAAATATCGCATTACTAATCTACTGCATTCAAGAAGCAGATATAACACCACTGTCTGGTTTGTTTTTGTTTTTTTTTTTTTTGACTGTTCCTCAAATTTTAACAGTTGTTATATGATAAAAGCTACATACCTTAATATTCAAATTAGAGTTTAAAAGCTTCTAGACATAGTGAACAGAGGTTCATTCTGGCTTACGTAAACTATATAGAAGAAAAAACCCCAATTTCTTGATATGGGATTTCATGATTTATTAACATGAATATGTAACTTCATATTCAGTTTCTGATAATGCACCAGTTCATTTGATAACCCAGACAACTCAAACAAACACCTTTAAAATCTTGGATTTCTTGCAAGAAGGAACTCCAAATGACACCAAAAGCTTCCAGCATTCCAGAGCTTGCTGTTACACAAAACCTTTCAGTGGTATGAATGCAAACAAAGTTTTAGAAGCACAGGCAGTGTGGTGATTTCCTGCCTAAATATGCTTCTCTCTTTTCCACATGTAATCCTACACTGTATAGGGTCCACATTACATACCCAGACACTTTAATCAATGATAACCTTAATTAGCCATCTTTACTGAATGCTGAAGATTTTCAAGTTTGATGGTTGTTTTTTGTTATGTGGGGTTAGTACTTTTTATTCATGTAGGTACTCTGAAAGGACCCAAGATGACTAACACAGGGAAACTTTCTTGTATGCTGAGTTTTGCCAACTCCTCTCCTCAGCTTCCTTGTAATGATGTTACCCACTTAGGTAAAAATTGTCTGTATTTTTGACTCTAATCACAGTCATTTCATTTTAAAAAAATTTATCATTATAAAGCATTAACAAACTCCACTTTACAAACATAATTGAATTAGACAGCAGTTATTTAAAGAGAACTGTATTTACCTCAAACTCTCCACAGAGAGCCACATCGTTCTTGGAGCACACTTCAATGCAGGACTTACTCCCAGTGCTAGAATCTTCATCCAGACTAGAATGAGGTCCTCGTGATGAATGATTTTTCACATCAGCTGATCTACTGCTAACCCTACTTACAGAGTCTTCTTGTAGTTCTATGGATAATTCACATTTGTTTGGTTTCATACACTCTTTACTATTGCTGTTTGTAAAATCATTCCTTACATTCATATTCTGTGCTGATTCACTGCTCGGATTTCTAAGACTGGTATCATCACAGGACTTCTTTCCTTGTGAAGTAAGGTCAGCAAAGATAATTGAACTACCACTTTCCACACTCTGAATGTGACAGCGATGGCTGAAAATAATAAAGTAAGGGAGATAAATCAAAATATGTCCAGAGTTTTATACCATCTATTTGTGATACATCATTCTGAAAACTTTTATTGCAAGCTGCATTCCGGAGTAAGAGTTCAGCTGCTTCTCCATATAAAACTTTAGGATTACATACTTGGCAGTGTAGGCTCCAGCCTTTTTAATACCTTCCCCCTGCAGGGATTTCTGATAGCTGACCCAGACAGCTCATAGGTACATACAGTCCCAGGTCACCACATTCACTGGACAGAAGTATGATGCATCACCATTTCTTTAAACTATTTCACACAGGGCTCCATTTCCTTATCAAAAGGGCTAATCAACACTCCTGAGAAACGGAACACCCCATCACTCCAATAACACTCCACAGTACTAATCAGTGTCTATGACTGGCACAGAACTTCTGAAGTAAACTTGAAGCCCAGTACTACATTCAGGCACTCAGAAACCGAGATATCCAAAGGTAGAAGCATCCGGTAATATTCTTCAGCTTACACAACAAGAGAAACAATGACAACAATAATTAATACTTTTTTTGGTGATAATTTGGAAGCAATATGCAATATATGCTGGATTCTGTGCTCTTTTAATGTTACTTTAAAAAAAAGTCTGATGTTAAAGACAAATAAATGTTATCATTAAGATTTATAATACTTACTTGCTGCTCTCTTGCTCCAAAGATAATGCCTGCAACTGCATTATTGTTTTATCTATTGGATGAAAAGATATAGTATTTTACAAAACAAAGCATGCATATATTTACTATATTAACATTTAAGCTACAGCATCTTACTGAATTTACTTCATTATCTGTCACTATCTTTATTTCTACTGCTGTAAAAGGTGCTTGTTAAGTCTACTAAGAAGCAACCCTAATATGTTTTTCGTTTTTCTTTAAATGGAAGGAAAATACATGTTGTACAAGGTCACTGAAAGGGTTGTACTGGGCTCTCTTAGATATTCACCTAGGTATCACCTTTAAGAAGTTAGCCTGTTCAAAATTAGGGCTTATAATGTATAGGATAATACACAGTTAAAGAAGCAACATCCTTTGTATCAACCTATTGCTGGTTTTAAGACACTCAATATTTTGGGAATAATTTTAATTAAATTGCATACTTAAGTGAAAAAGCAGTTTGTTTTAGCACACAGAAGCAAATATGATGTACTGATCTTGTAAGCCAAGGAAAACCATTAAGTAGCACAGGACCTACCTACAGATCTAGTTATGTACTTACATTATCACCATTAAATACTTATCAACTAAACCTAGCACTAAAAAGCTGCATCCTTTGGGATTCTGTTTCATCAGTTAAAAAGTCTGGTCTATTTTACTATACTGTCAACTTCCTATGCATTTTCTTTTGTGCTTATAGCTGACTGGGCATCAAGTCACTGACTTGGAAAGCAATAAAGTCATATAGGGCATAAGCAAACCTCTCACTGAGAGAGGATCAAAAGATTATACTGCTAAAGGCATTCTGGAAAAGGACAAGAAAGAAAGGGACCAACGGATTAGGGTTACAAAGGGACCAAAGGACCAAGTGTGGGAAGAGCAGGGAACAGAAAAACTGAAGAGGAAAAAAAAGTGGGCAGGGAAGAAGGTGTAAAATTAACATGAAAGTAGATAAATTCTCAACAGTTACAGACAGTAGCTGATACACAAAACCCCAGATTGCTCTGCCACTGCAGAACTACATAACTATGAAATTATTTAATTCATCAAATTAAAAAACTCTCCTGTGGAAAGCAAAAGAAGGAAAACTTTTTTTTCCCCCCATTAAAGTATTTATTTCTAGGTTCTTTCAGTTTTTCTAAACTCTTTTCCAGATAGGAAGAGAAGCATAGTGACAGACATTTTAGTTTTGCTACAACTCTGAGATTTCAAAACATGGTAACAAATTTGTGGGCTTTTTTCTCCTATTCATCACTTTTAGGGGAAAAGTGGCTCATTCCCTAGTATTCATTCTTCTCCTTGTCAACTCTCTACTTTTTGCATTAAAAGGTTTTCATTGCATTCCACTGAACTTCACAAAACTTTAAAATCGTCCTCCTGTATTACCAGAACTGAAGTGAATACTCCCACAGCTATAAATTCATCATTAAGTAACAGATGAGTTACTAGGAAAGTGAAGTGCACAGAGGGACATGAAGAGCTGGTGGGCACCTGTAGTTTGCTTTTATTTCACTGTTTTAAGGAGAAAAAAAAAATAGTTATTTTATCAGAGAAGTAATGCTCTCCTGCAAATAACAGTGCAAAGATTATAAGCAGGATGCAAGCAAGAATTACACAGTATGCTGTACTTTCCTTTTGGGTGTAATGTTTGAACTTGTTCCATCCAAGCAGTGTGATAGCCTACAATATTAGGATGCTGCAGCCCAGCCAGCACTTTAACTTCTCGTAGCACCTAAAAAGACCAAAAAGAAACAGTATGACTGTCCTTTATTCTGAACACTCAGTAAACACAAAAGATAACAAAAAATAACAGTTTCTGACAGTCAAAAACCAGATAAAATTATCACAGTAATAGAGAAAATTTGGATGCTTTAAAACTATGATTTTCATAGTTGCAGAGATGAGCAAATTCAAGTTAATAATACGCTTCTTTTAATAGACTTAAATACCTCTCATTTGTTTTTTTTCTGCTAGTTATTGATACAGTCAAATCTTTAGAAACTCAGAATACATAAAAATCATTATTAACACTTTTGATGTTTTGGGAAATATTAACTGCATTACTAAATTAAATCAGAATCAGCTAGAGCAGACAGGGAGTTAAACACAGATGAAACACAGGAAAAAAAATACCTTCATGCAATCTCTTCTTGTAGCCTTCTTGATGTTAATTTTTTTAATAGCATAGAACTGACCATCTAACTTGTTTCTGACCTGAAATCAATTGCAATAGGACACAATTAGATGTTAATGTGTTTAGATTGATGAATTACTAATACCTTAGAACCAATTATTTTCAAAAATTAATTTCTGCACTCCGTTCACATAACCTCTCAACTGCATCAGAGAATGAAACTGGAGTTAGGCCCCAGCTGCCTAAGATAATACTCTACTTTTGCCTTCTTTCAGGACTGCAAACATCTAACCCAGTCTTTGTGAAATACATAGCTTTACAGCTATCTTTCCATCAACAATGGTTGGACTAGATGATATTCAAGGTCTTTTCTATCCTCGATGATTCTGTGAACAAAAAAATGCTGAAAGGTCCTCATAACTGCTTGAACAGGTTCTCCATAAATCGCTGAGACCACAACTGTCATTTACATATGGCACATATGTAGCCATACACTACAAATATTTAATACAATTCAACATTGGGTTGGACAGTTTACATTCATATTAAGGCTGCTTTTTTTCAAGCAGCCACAACTGGAACATTGGGGTATGCAGACTAATCAGTTCCTGTGGCTCTTTAAAGTCAAGATATCACAATATTTCACACAATGAGGAGTTTTCATTCAGTTTAAAAGTGTTGAAATGTACAAAGTAAAACACCCGACATATCCTGCTTCTGACAAACAGAAATTGCAACTGATCATCTTTTGAAATGAAATGCCAACATGCTTCATGTGTGCAGGTTTGCACCTGTTCTATTGGAAAATGAGTATTTTTGGGTTTCCATTAGAAAAATGAAAGAAACAGCTGAAACGGTACCTCTAAATTTAAAAGAAAATACTAGATAAAAACTGATCAGTTATAAATGGAAGGTAAAGAATACCTTGTATACTTTACCATATCCTCCTTTTCCTAGTATTGCAACCTCATCAAATTCATTCAAGTATCGAGACGTCTGTGCTTCAAAGAGAACTTCTTTTTCCCTAATCAAAAAAGTCAGGCTGCATTAAACTAAATTACAACTTACAAGTAAGGTATTATATGGGCTGCAGGTGTACACAATCTAGAAATACTATTTACATTATGAAAAGAAGAAAATACTTTGATATTACCATACTGTACCATTCACTGTTTCAGTGAATACTGAAAACCAGCAGACTGCAACAGCATGCACACATGCTACAAACTCACACTCTGTGTTAACAGGATTATTAAGATGATTTAAGTTTATGCCTGATAAATCTCGTTTTCCTGAATGGTGGCACTAACCCTGAGAGTTGTGCTGAAGCAAGAATTTTCACTAGATCGTTTTGAGAGTTTGGAGAAAACTTGTGTGTGTGTGTGTGTGTGTGTTTCAGAGACAAAATATGAAATGCAATACTCATGAAATTCAGAGTGGAGCACAGAACTTTAGGGAGGGAGTTAAGTTTAATACTTCTAAATGTTTTGAGTACATACCCAATTGCATGAGAATCTCCGTTATCAATTTCCTATGAAACAACAAAATCCAACATAAAAACATGCCATACAGAATAACAGGTCTACCACATCATCAGCATGGACAGCTTAAATCAAAACAGAAACTACAACCATGTTCATAGAAGAAAAAGAGGTTACTGATAGCCATTCACATTCTCCAGAGAGCTTCAGCAAATTAAAGTATTATTATCCCACCAGTAATCTAACATCTCTCTGCTGGAGAGATTACTGCCCTTTTAGAGTTCTGCTGGCAAGCAGGATAAAATGAGGGCTTTAAAATGTGCTTAAGACAAAATTAACTAGCTTAGTTCAAGCAGCGAGATAAGCAAACTGGTGTGATTCAGCCTGAAGCACATTATGCAGTATACAAATTATGCCCTCCACTAATATGAATACAAAGGTGTTAACCTCATCAACTGGAACAGTTAAAAGTTGAAAATGGATGTCTGTCCATTGTTGAAAAAAGCTGTAGCAATAATTAAAACACCTTGCCTATGTTTATCATGATTTTTTAAAAACTTTTTTAAAAAAAATTATTTAATAAGAAAATATTGCTGGTTTCAAAAGCTTTGGGTGTGCACCTATAGAGCCAGAACACGCCATCCCAAACAGCTAAGGCAGCTAAGAACAGGAGTACCATTTTGTATAATTATTAAAAAGACCCAATCCAGTATTAAAAGAACCCCCAAACAAAAGCTTCTTTGGATGCAATGATGTGTTAATTCCTTAATGCAGAGGTTGCCAAAGAAATTTAACAAAGCTTACCCCATTAAGTATTTGTTGATTAGCTGCTTTCATTAGTTCAGTAATGGCTCTATTATGCTGCAGTCTTACAGTACTAAATTCATCACAGAAGGCAAAAGGGGAGAGCAACCCTGTTCTTGTGAAAGCCTGACGAAGTACTGTACAAAGGAACAGAGAAAGGTCACATTAAATAAAGCCTGCCAATAAGACCATGTAAACAGTTGTTTTTTAAATGAGAAACTTTATTTGAAAGATAGCACATCTGAAAAACTGAACGGTCACTCCTACCCTAATGCAGTTTCCCATACTCTTAGCAATAAAAACTATTTGAATCTAAACTAGGGCTGCTCTGTGGGAATCTCTTTGCATAATACAGTTATTTACCATGCCCTTCACAGTCACAACTGCATCTCCTCTTATTCCTTATCTCAGCAGATGAATTATACAAACATCCACCCATTCACTTGTTACCCTTGGACTAATTTTGATCAGCGAAGAGAGAAATTCAAAGCACGTTCACAATTACGAGGACGTATATAAAAAGTAGCAATATCAAGATTTTTACATTATTTCACATTAATTCATGTACAAACTCACACACTTGTGCACATACTCATAGTAAAGAATGAAGTCACTCTCTTCCACACCCCACCCGCAAGCACCATGTCTCAGCTGGAGTAAAACAACACTGTCACAGACAAAAACCTAACCAATACTGGAGATGGGAGCACCTGCAAAGATGCTACAAAAATGTACTTAAAAGTTTTAGGAATTCCAAGGTCTTAAACCAAACCTGATCGTAATAAGTTTTGTTAAGACGTTTCTCTGGTACTAACATTTTAAAACCCAGCCTATTACTTTATCTTTTGAAGGAAATGAAATTTATTGAAAGGGAACCTCTAAGAAATCAGGAATTTTGCTACACAAGCCTTAGGGATACAGCTATGCACACTGGAAAAGTGGGAAAAACCCACCCTTGCCAACGTGAATATACCAGACAAAACCAAAAAACAGACGCAATTACTGCAATATGTATTTTTTTTATTCATCAAGCTTATTCCACTTGAGAAACTGGTTTAAACTGTGTCAATGGAGGAATATCATTTTCCACCGAAGTATACTAGGAAGCCAAGCAGCTACATACTTTGGAAGATTAACAGGTTTTGGGATTTTTTAGTTCCTCCCACAAAAGGAGACAATTTGGTTGGATTTTTCCCCCCCCCGATATTTTTGATTTTGATGGAGATAATAGTAAGACCCAGGGCCAAACATCTACATCAGACTTCAAGAATGAAAAAATGACAGCTGTCTGCACTGTTGTTACTGGATGCTATGTCTTCCATTTTAAGTACAAGCAATATAGTTACTTATATAGTTCTAAATATATAATTATTTTCTACAATCGTATGGTAAGGAAAAAAACCTTGGAGATTGTTTCTCAAATGCATTAAGTATGTGCCTAAACGAACAAAATACCTAAGATAAGTCACATACCAAAAAGACAGATTTCAGACTTTAAAAATGTGGGCTCCCTGAATTACATCAAAAGACTGTATGGGAAAATAAAGGACTTCAAAGGTATTTGCTCTGATTTTCACAGACCATAATTTTGAAAGATTTAGTGAAGACTATGCTACAGCTATTCCTTGATATTGTTATTGAATTCCTATTCTGTGTTTTTAGATCAGATTTAACAGTTAGATAATTTACTCTGCTACCCTTCTCATGATGCTACTCACGTGATTTAGTTGGAACTAAATGTGTGGAACTCGCATGATTTAGCTGTCTGATCCTCACATCTACAACAACATTATGTTACTGTTTCCAAAAACAAGCCAGGTCCTCATTCCCAATTAACACAAATCTGGGTACTCATCCCCACAACTACTCCTGTCCCAAAGGCACGAGACCTACAGTTTTGCAACGATATTGTACTGTAACTGCACAGAAGAACCTGGTGTATACAGCTGTAAGGCAGTTTAAGAGACAGGAAAGAACTAATTGTACTAACTTCGGAACAAACACCTCGAATGAACCGGGTTGTGCGTGTACATGTGGCAGAGATGCTCCAGCAGCGACACCAGCAGCAGCTGGTTTTGGATGGTCGAAGTGAAATTCACAAACTTTTGCGACCCATTTGCAACTCTGAGCTCCGCCGGCACATCCGAGTCTGGAAAAGAGCAGTCAGACGAATTAATTTAAGTCTCGGTTTGTGCCTATTTACCAAGACATCAAAACCATATCCCTACCCACACAGCTTCAGCACCACCTTGGCTCACAAAAAGGCACCACACGAGCTGCCGCTGAGCGAGAAGCTTAAGACACTAATTTAGAACCTAATTATTTTTTAGAGGCGCACGGGGAAAGAAATTTAAGTGGAGAGGACCAGGCCCGGGGGGG